TATATATATATATATATATATACACACACACACACACACACCACACACACACATATTAGCTCATCAGTGTTGATAATCACGTCTCTTCAGCTTGGGTTCAGCTGAGGATTGTGGGTAACGAGATCTGCAGTAATGAGGTAAACTCAGATAAACTTTAGCCCAGCACAGGTCAGAGATCCTAAAACCAACCCGAGCCCGAGCCGTAATCTGCAGAGCGGGTCAGCGTCCTTACAAACCGCAGATTTATTCCTGATCAAACCCTTCATTCACCTCACCGTGAGTAAGAGTGCACTCTGATTGACAAGTGAAATAAACCTAGTGTTTTGAATAATAGAATATAAACATTACAAAATAAACAATCCCAACAAATAACTCGACTTCTAGTTAATGATGTGTGAAAGTGTCAGAATGTGGATTTCTCTGATGAATCATCTGCTGATCTGCATCCCAATCATCAGCAGTACTGCAGAAGACCTGCTGGAACCAAGATTCTCATAGAAATCAGTCAAGTTTGGTGAAGGAGAAATCATGGTTTGGTGTTCATTTAGTATAGGGGTGTGCGAGAGATCTGCAACATCAACAGCCTGAGGTATCAAGACATCTGTGCTGCCCATTACATTACAAACCACAGGAGAGGGACAATTCTCCAGCAGGATAGCGCTCCTCATACTTCAGCCTCCACATCAAAGCTCCTGAAGGTCAAGCTGTTCCAGGATTGGCCAGCCCAGTCACCAGAGATCAACTTTATTGAGCAGATGAAGGAGGAGGTGTTGAAGATGAACACAAAGACTCTTGATGAACTCTGGGATCCTGCTGAAGGCTTTCTTCTTCATTCCAGATGACTTTATTAATCAGTGATTTGAGTCATGTCAGAGATGTATGGATGCAGTCCTCCAAGCTCATGATGGAGTCAGACACAATATTCATTCTGTCTCCACTGCAGCAGGACTTTATATTCTATACTGGACATTATTTCTGTTCAGTGATGAGACTTTAGTCTGAGCAGAGTCAGACCGCACTGTCCTCATCAAATCAGTCAACATCAAGACATGATCAGATTTATTGAGCTCAAATAAGCAAAATCTAGAGGCCTTCACCTTTCATACGACATTTCTGACACCAAATCATTAGCTAGAAATCAGCTTATTATTATTTCTAAAACTTAGAGATGCGACAAGACTTTTGTCTGGTAGTGTACATTAATTTATGTTTTAAAATGTCAGTGGGATTATTGTAACTATGATTAAGCTCAATAGTTTAAACTGAAATTGAAAATGAATTTTAAAAATCAGACATTGATGTATTAATAAACATAAGGTGGAATTATATTTAAATAAGAGGGTGTGGCAGTGTGAGAGAGGGGGCGGGCCTCCACAAAATGGCTCTAATAATGTTCAAACACCACTAACTTTGTTTGTATTCTCTAATATATTCTCAGTTAATAATAATAATATATCTTCATTCATTCATGCATTCATTCATTTTCTTGTCGGCTTAGTCCCTTTATTAGTCCGGGATCACCACAACCAAATGAACCGCCAACTTATCCAACAAGTTTTTACGCAGCGGATGCCCTTTCAGTCGCAACCCATCTCTGGGAAACATCCACACACATTCACACACACACTCATACACTACGGACAATTTAGCCTACCCAATTCAACTGTACCTGCATTAATACAATCAAAATGTCTAAAGTAATGCAGGGAGAACATGCAAACTCCACACAGAAACGATAACTGAGCTCAAACCAGCAACCCAGCAACCTTCTTGCTGTGAGGCAACAGCACTACTTCGCGCCACTGCTTCGCCCATAATATAACTTAACTTAATAATCTTAAATGTTATTAAATGCATTCATTAGGTTTTAATATAAACACTGTAAAAACGCTGGGTTTCACACAATCGATTTGTTAACTTATTCGTTTTTACAAATTTAAGTGAATTGAACATAAAACATTTAAGCTGTCCCAAAAACAACTCAAGAATTGTGTTGCTTCAGCAAGTAGCTTGCAAACATCTCTTTTTGAGTGCATTAAAATATTATTAACATTATTATTATTATTATTATTAAAATGTTTTCCATGTTTGAGTTGTTGTTAGGTTGAAGCTGCAAGTCCTCATGGAGTTGCTGAGCAGGGGGGCGGGGCATAGTGAGCGAGGGGGCGTGGCCTCGTAAATTCGCTCTAATCATGTTTAAACACACTCAACTTTCTAATCTCAGCTGCTCTATTTCTGTGCTGGATTTAGACACTGAAACATCAACAAACAAACATAACACCAAGCGAGCAGGAGTAGCTGAGCAGACTACTCACTGTATATATACAGACGATCCATAATGATTTATTATAGTGAGGATGTTTGTGTGCTGTTTGGTCGTTTTCATCCACTCTGGGCTGATTTTGAGTCTTAATTTGGCCTCAACGTTCTCTGACAGATCTTATTTTGATGTATATTTTGGGAAAATGCTTTGAAATGCACTATGGGCAGATTGACTCCCCTTTGGTTATGTTGGGGACTGTTTTTGCCCCATTGACTTCCATTATAATCACATTATTTGATTTCAAAGCCATGACAGCATATAATCCTGCATTCTTGATTGTTGCTGGTTTACGCTGTTGGGAAGAGGGAAAGTTTGTCAGGTTTACTGTTGATCATCATTTGCAAACTAATCTGCTGTTTTACTCAATATAATAGCCAGGAACTCTTCAGCACAGGCCTGTCTGAAGGGTCAATGCTCCAACTGATGATCAACAGTAAAATGTTCCTCTTCCCAACAGGAAAATCCAGCAGCAATCAAGAATGCATAATTATATGCTTTCATGGCTTCAATAAATCAACAAATGTGATTACAATGGAAGTCAATGGGGTCAAAACAGTCCTCAACACACCCAAAGGGGAGTTAATGTAAACAGTACACAAGGATTAAATGAATGTTTTGTGTGTGTTCAGGATGGCTGTATTGATTTCATGGAGTATGTGGCGGCTCTGAGTCTGATCCTGAAAGGCGGTGTTCAGCAGAAGCTGCGCTGGTATTTCAAGCTCTACGATGTGGACGGCAGCGGCTGCATCGACCGCGAGGAGCTGCTGCTCATTGTTAAGGTATTTAATATTTGGATGTAATCTGATTAGGTTGGATTGGATTCAGAATTAGGATTAAATGACAAGATCCAATCAAGCTTTTGATCTAGATTAAACCCTCTAAAAATAGCATTGTAAATTGTTTATAGTGAAATTGGACTACTTTATTTATAAACAATGCTTATTTTGATTGCAGCGGATGATTATTTATGTCCTGCAGTTTACATTTGTTTTACTTAAACTTTGTGCTTTTAGTGAAAAATTAAACTTATCTCAAAAACCCTTAAGAATTGTGAACTAATTTTAAATCAAAAGCAAATGTCGCTTTTTGACTGCATATTAGTCATGACTACAAATGATTTTGTGTTATTTGAACTTACACCAAGTGATGAAGCGTTTCAGGTGTAATTTAAAAATTCTTCATGCAAAGTCTCAAGGTTGCCAAAAGTATAGGGCTTTTGTGCTTCAAAATGTGCCACACATTCTCTATTGGAGACAGGTCAGGACTGCCGACAGGCCAGTCAAGTACCTGTATCCTCTTCTTCCACAGTCAGGACTTTGATTCATCTGACCACAGTGCACATTTTCACTGTGTTATGGTATTATTAGCAGTGGTAATAACAGTATATATTAACATTGACTTACAGTGCACAGCATATATGCGTACACCCCTCACAAATCTCTCTTTTAAATGAATATGTTTAATATGAAGCTTTACAATATTATATTTGTGCATACACATTAGATTAGTCAGTACTGAAGCCAAATGTGGAGCTTCTCGAACAAAATAACTTTTATAATAACAATTATTCTTCCAAAAACGCCAATAACTTCCAAAAACTAGTACACCCTATTTTATGTTATAGAAAAATATTAAATACAAATTTTAAAAAGAGGAAAACTTCAGGGAAGCAAAACAATAAGTAAAAGAAAAAAAGAAAAGTTCAGTTGAAATTTTGTAGTTTGTAATTTGTTTTTGCAATGTTTAGCTTGAATGTAATTGTATTATTCTTCAATTTCTAAATATGTTTGGTGACTAAAATATTATTTCAATAAATATATCTGTTTAATAAATCAGGTTTGTTTAAATGCACCAAAATCCATTGACTATATTCACTGAGAAATGGAGGAAAATATCTATTTTCATATCTATTTTGGCCTGTAACTTATATAATAATGATATAAACACAAAACACAAAATAAGGAAACTTTATTGACAATTTTTTTACAGTGTGGCTTAAAACTTAAACAAAACTGCAAAGAAAAAAAAAAAGAATTCCTTCATGTTGTCCAGCACAAATCTATTAAGGTAACTTAAAAGTTTTTAAGTGGATTTAACCAATAAAACCACCAATAAGACAATTAAGTTGTCCCCCCCAAAAAAATAGGAATTGTGTTGTTTCTACTCATTTTAAATAAGTAGTCTGAACAAGCAGTAAAAGTCATTTTTGACTGCATATTAGTCGTGACGACAAATGTTTTTGTGTTATTTTAACTTATTAAATTACTTAATGGTTATTTATTTATCATTTTTATTTTATTTTTAACATTTTAACAATGTTTTGAATCAGTTTAAGGCATTTTAAGTTGAAATAAGATTGTACGGCACCTCTGGACACTGTTAACATAGGGCTTCCTTTTGGCACAGTACCGTTTAAACTGCTGGAGTTTGTGGATGTAACTCTGTATTGTGGTGATTGACAAAGATTTGCCGCAGTATTCCTGAGCCCATGTGCTGATCTGGCTTATAGATGAATCAGGATTGTTGATGCAGCGCCCTCTGAGGTGTCGGAGATCCCGGTTGTTCAGCTTAGGCTTGCGCTCTTGTCCTTTATGCACTGAAACTCAGATTCCTTGACATTTGGTGAAATATCTAAATGTCTTCCTCTCTTTGTTTTTAAACATTTCAGTCATTTCTTCACATATTTTCTTGCATTTTAACATGTTTTAAGTCAGTTTAATGCATTTTAAGTTGAAATAAAACTGTATTCAATCTAAAAATGTCAGGCAGAGACTATTTTTATCGAGCATATCAGCCAAAATGTGATTACATGATCCAATTTAGAGCACTTATAATCTGGATTAGGAAATTGTGTATGTGAGTCAGGCTAATCAAATCCAGTTCTGCATTGAAAATGGCACTGGCACACAGCAAAAACAGGGGATTACCGACTCCAGATCATCCTTATCCAGATTAAATGGTTTGAACAACTGGTCCCAGTCGATCATGTGACTCATATGATGCTCTTTAGCTCCACCTGCTGGTGTCTGAAATCACAGATTAACCCCTTAACACCCTCCATCTGTCTGACATATTGCTGAAAATTGTGAGAGTCTGTAAGAGGATCGTCCGTGACGTGAGCAGAGACGCACTTTCACCCTCTCTGCTTCTCATCTGTGTCTGTTTTTCTGCTTCAGGCCATTCGAGCCATTAATGGAGTCGAGCAGGAGGTTTCAGCTGAAGAGTTTACCAACATGGTGTTTGAAAAGATCGACCTCAATGCAGACGGTAATCTATGTATCTATCTATCTATCTATCTATCTATCTATCTATCTATCTATCTATCTATCTATCTATCTATCTATCTATCTATCTATCTATCTATCTATCTATCTATCTATCTATCCATCTATCCATCTATCCATCCATCTATCCATCTATCCATCTGTCTATCTATCTATCAGTCTATCTATCTATCTATCCATCTATCCATCTGTCTATCTATCCATCTATCCATCTATCTATCTATCTATCTATCTATCTATCTATCTATCTATCTATCTATCTATCTATCTATCCCTCTATCCATCCATCTATCCATCTATCCATCTGTCTATCTATCTATCTGTCTATCTATCTATCTATCTATCCATCTATCTATCTATCTATCTATCTATCTATCTATCTATCTATCTATATCTATCTATCTATCTATCTATCCATACGTCCAAAGTGGGTTAGAGATAATATGCAGAAGAAAAAAACAAGCCTGTGTTTTGTGATTGTCATTATATTTTAGAGAAGCTGCTTATCTTATCAGTGTGCCAATATATTTAGGAGTGTTGACTAACTCACTGTAAATGTTTGTGTGTGTGTGTGTGTTCAGGAATTTTAACTGTATGTGTGTGTGTGTGTGCAGGAGTGTTGACTATGGATGAGTTTATGGAGGGCATTCAGGCAGACGAGTATCTCTCCACCATGCTGACTCAGAGTCTGGATCTCACACACATCGTCAAAAAAATCTACAGCGAGATCCACTGTGAGCAGGAGCCGCACTGACCCCAGACCAGCACACAGCATCCAGATGATGATGATGAAGAAGAAGTGGCACTGACTCCAGACCAGCACACAGATGAAGATGATGATGAAGATGATGAAGATAAAGGAGGAGCGGCACTGACTCTAGATCAGACCACAGCATCATGAAGAAGATGAGTAGGATAAAGGAGCTGCTGCTGTCTCGCCTCAGGTCTCCTGCTGACTTTCTGTTGTTAAAACTGAACTTTAATACAGCGGAGTGAAGAGACTGAAACACTTAGCACATCTGAAATACACTCTTAAAGGGACAGTACACCAGAAAATCAACATCTAAAATACACACTTAAAGGGACAGTACACCTAAAGATCAACATCTAAAGTAGACTTTTAAAGGGACAGTACACCTAAACAGAGCTTGCGCTATGCGTCGTTGCGACATGTAGTTAAATTTTTTGAGAGGTGCGTGTCAGCGACGCCGACGGCCACTTCGTAGGGCTAGAAGTATAAATCAGCCTTAAAGATCAACATCTGATATACACTTATGCTGTGTTCACACCATACATAGATGAAGCGTTAAGCGCAAGTCATTTACATATAAAGTCAATGCAAAGTAATAGACATCCTGCGGCGCGCTTTGGGTGAATGAGGCGGCTTGAATGATGCGATTTGCACAAATGAAGCAGCGCGAGTTGAGCCACATATCGTGTAAATTGCTCAAGTTGAAAAATTTGAACAGCGAACATTCGCACCGCATTAACCAATCAGGATCTTGCTCATGTAGGGGCGTGATTATGATGTAGCGCCTGTTGTTGTTGTCGTCGCCATTCACACGGGGCATCAGCGGCAACACTTCCCCTTCATTTTGAATGGGTGATGTCGAGCATTGCCGAACTGCATTGTGGATCCATTGAGGCCGCTTCAGTGGCGTTGCTCGCTGCAGTTGGGAATTTCTCAACTTTTCAAGCCCCAATCAATGCAAGCGTCAGCCAATCAGATTGCTTTATGCAAATACCCAAGCTCCAACAGTAGCCGATTGTAAACTAATTTGATTGGCTCAAGCTGCTAAGACGATCGTGTCAGCTCCAACTTCAGACACGGCTTTTGTCAAGCATTGACATTGAAGCCCCGTGTAAATCGGGCGTCACAGAGCTGGTGCACCACTGAAATGATCTAGCTGGATAAATATATTCGCTGCTTTTCAGCTTTCCTAAAGCACATACACAGCTAATCTGTCAATAAAATCCATGTTAGCCATTTAGCAATGAAGCTAGAGTCAGCCATGACACGAATCTGCATCTATTGTGAAGTGAATTTGATACGCGAATGAAATGAGTAAACTCAATGTTTATGCATCTATTTATGCATGAATATCGTGATTTATTTGTGCATTCCACGTCTGGTGTGAGCACAGCATTAATGGGACAGTTGCATAAAGATCAACATCTGAAATGTACACTCTTAAAGGAACAGAGCACCTAAAAATCAAACTTACTGTCCCTTTGAAACGGACAGTACATCTAAATATGAACATCTAATATACGCCTTTTAAAGGAACAGAACACCTTGTTGCAAAAGGCTAAGTGCCATCTGAAATGTTCTTCTGAAGTAAGCACTGTTATTAGGCTTCTGTGTTTACATGACTGTAAAGTTAGCTCATTTTTCTTTAAAGGCAATCAAAATAACATAAAATTAATGAATTGCCCACAAGAGCCTGAGAAAAATGCTCATTTTAGAAGTAAACTCTTCATTTGCTGATCATTTTTTCACCCTTGAGTGGTTTTAAAACTTCACAAGTTTGATGAACACAAACTAAAATTTGCTGAGGAATGCTGGAAACCGGTAGCTGCTGCCTTGCATAGTAATATAAACAAATACTATTTTAGTCAATGGCCAACATTATTGGGTGAACTGTCCCTTTAAGTGTTTTATTTGACTGGATTTCAGAACAGCAGCTGATTGTTTTCCCATGCACTGAAAAAAAATTCAAAGATGATTCCTTGGGTTTACAATTTTTTTTTATATGTTTTTAAACAAACAAATTAAGTTGAGTATTATTATATTTTTTTGTTTAAATAAAAATAACCAAAAATAAACTGTTTGCCACTGTTTTGCAGACATTATTTTTTTCAGTGTACTTTCAATGTGTGCATTAGTGATTTTCATGAATGAATCTAGAGCAGATGTTTTTAAGTGCACTTATACATGTTGCTTTCTCTTAAAATATACAATATCTTAAGTACTGTGATGTTTATCAAGGGAATAATGTGTTATTTGTGGAAAATGTAGGGATTATTTTTAATGCTTTTGTTATTTTTCAAGTGGATTCTCTTTTCAAAATAAAAACATGAAAGAGTTTTAAAATGGTGAAATGATTTATTGAACTGACAGTGAACAACACCAAAATTATCATAATTTACATTCAAGTACTATTACAGCATTTTTTATTTTTTATTTAGCTTTTATTTTGATATTTGCACTTTAGTCGTTTTTTTAAATATACTAACAGCATTATTATACTGATATGAGTTATTTCATTTAGTTGTTTTCTACATCTAGTTTTCCCCTATTTGATGTTTATATTTTATTTCAACCTTTAGTTTACTTCCAGTGAACATTAATGACCAGTTATAAACTAAATGTAAGGTAAGAATCTTATACTTAATACAAGCATTTTGAAGAAAAAAAAATGCTGAATAATTTTGGCATCATAAAACTTGAACGTCATTTAACTGAATAAAACATTTGTAAACATTTTTTATACCACGTTAAGCAATGATATACTACAATCTTTGCACGCATGTGTGTAGGCACAAAATGTGCATGACATCACAGCCCTACCCGAGTTGCAATCAGAGATTCGAACAAATTTTACCCTTTTATGAAACTGCATGAATGTGACCTGATTTATGACTGAAATATAAAGGTTCACAAATAATTTAAAGTTATTTAAAGTTGACAATTTATTTGTCTACAGAGCACCTTGTTTTGGCATTAAAGATCTCAGGATTGGTATTTTCCCTGCTTTGACATCAAGCTGTTAATAGAATCACATGTTTCTCTTCATTTACTACATGCAAATTGAAGTGGATCTAGTTGATTACTAATACTTTCTCCTAACATTGACACCATATACTTTTAAAGACATTTCATCACTACTGATGTAATCTCACTTTTGTTTGCTAATAAATACATATATTTAACACATTGGGCTCTATTTTGACGATCCAGGTTATATTCAGAGCTTGTCAGAATCCACTTTTGCTAATTTAAAGACGGAAAAATCTGCTTTGCGCCGCGGCGCATGATCTAACAGGGTTGAGCTTATTTTCTTAATGAGTTTTAGGTGTGTTTTGAGAATAAACCAATCAGAATTTCATCTCCCATTCCCTTTAAGAGCCAGTTGTGTTGCGCCATGGTGCATTTGCTATTTACATGACGTAAAGTAAGTGTAAGTGGAAAAACTGAGCATTTCACAAGCAATAAAACAGTTAAACAGAGCATCTGCAGCGCGAGAAAGCTTATTGGCGCACATACTGTATAAGCTCAAATGCATTTGCTAATTAAACAGCGTGTTGCAAAACATCAAAACAACTCTTGCGCCGAGCTGAAACTAGCAAACAACTATTGCGTCGCGCCTTACGCCCCAAAATGTTTCTCTTATTTTTAATCTCCCCATTTTGTGTCATTTTAGCACAATAAAGAATCTCCAAATGATCTTCCAGATTCATTATTAAGGTACATTTGCATATGTTCACAAAATATCTAATTAAATGGGGGCATGTGAAATATTATGCATTGTATTTTTTGTTTTATGATGATTGATTAGTTAAATTAGTTTTGCAAAATATTAGTTTTGTGATCTATTTGCATGAACAGTCTTTACGTATTTGAAATAGTTTGTAAAACATTAATTAACATAATGTTCAATCTTATTGATGAATAAAAGCATTACATCACCTGTTAGTGAGGAACTTTTGTTGTTGTTTTATATTTTTTGCTTAAAAAATTTTGTTAATGGTAGAAAATAACTAAATATGTAAAATTGCAACATTATGTTAAGAAACCAGCAATTGTACAAAAAAAACTTGTCCTTAAGTTACATTTCCCAGCTATAAATGGAAAAAGTCTTTTCGTGACTGAAATATTACATCCAACTTTCGACACTAATTTTGTCTGAACTCTCAAAACCCAAATAAATAAACAAATAAAACAAAAAAATTCAAGTTAAATGCTTATTTGTCTCATCAATAATATTTTACATGACGTGACATTTCCATTTATTATTCCTCTTATAACTTTCCTCTGCATATATGAGGGCTATCATGTCCTTCAGCCTCTGTACCTGCTGATCAACTCTCTCTCTGAAAACATTCAATTCTTCTTCTTGTTCTCTGGCTTCATCTTGATGTTTCTTCTCCATGGCATTAATGTTGCTTTTATGTTTTTGTTTTATTCTATTACACTCTTTTTCTTCTTCTTCTATTCTTCCTTGCACCTGTCTTTCTCTTGTACACATAACATCTTGTTCTCCTTTCAGGTCTTCAAACATTTTCTCTAATTTCTTCCTCTTCTCTTCTCGTCTCTTTTCATCCTCTTGTTTTCTTTTCTCAAACTCTTCTTTTATTTCTTCCTTCAGCTGATCATAATGTCTTTTTATCTCATTCCTTTTTTCTTCATATAGTCTATCCTTTTCTCCTTTGTCTTTCTTTTGTTTTTCTCTCTCTTGGATCTGTCGCAAATCTTCTCTTTCTCTTTCACATTTATTTTTCATTTTTTCCAGTTTCTCTTCTTGTATTCTAAGTTGATTTCCATGTTTTTCTTTTGTCTTTCTTATGTCATCCTCTCGTCCTCTCATCTGTCGCTTCATTTCTATTTCCCATTTGCTTTGCTGTTGTTTAACCTTTTCTTGAGTCTCTTTTTTACTTTCAGCCTCCTTTATTTTCCTCATCCATTCTTCTCTCTCTTTCTCTTCTTGTTCTTTTCTTTTTAGTTCCTCTAAATCTCTGTTTTTTATTTCCTGTTCTTGTTTAATCAGTAATTCTGCTATACTATGTTCTTTATTTTTTAAATTTTCTAGATCTTTTTTATATTCTTCCTCTCTTTTTTGATATTCTTTCTCTCTTTCTTCTTGCTGATTTTCATACAGTTTTCTCTGATCTTCAATCTCCTCTATCATCTGATTATATTCCTCTGTCATCTGTTTCTCCAGATCTGCCTGTTTCTGTTTCTCCTCTTCCTCTTGTTTCTCCAAATCAGATTTTTCTTTCTCCTCAAACTCTCTCCTGAGAGTTTTCACTTTTTCTTTGAACTTCTCCAGCTTCACTCTTTTTTCATCTGCCTTTTGTTTCTTCTTCGCCAGTCTTTCTGTCATGTTTCTGATTTCCATCTCATATTTGGCCTCTAATTCTACAACTTGAGCCTGATTTCTTGTTTTATTCTCTTTTAATGTTTCAATTCTTCTGTCGACAGAGACCTCTGCCTCCTGAAACATCTCATTAGTAAAGTGTTTACCCTCATTAGATTTCCTAATTTCTTCTATCATATTAAACAGACGAGTAACTTGTGTCTGATCTTGTGTTTCTGTGTTGTTAAAATCCAGGTATCTGTTTCCACAGTCGCTGATCATGTTTTTGAGTTCATCATTAAAACTTGCTTTCTCATATTGTTCAATTGTTTTGTTGTTCAGAATATCTGCTTCAGTGAAGAGAACAACACTGAATTTTGCTGCTTCTGGCCCAAACATCATCGTTATCATGTCTAAAATCTCACCCTTCTCTTGGCTAATTTTTCCTAAACTCACCACAATAACAAACACATGAGGTCCAGGAGCTGACTGATGAACACATTTCATAATTTGCTCCTGTACTTGTTCTTTTGACAGCGTCAAATCGAAGAGTCCTGGAGTATCAATAATAGATACTGTTTTACCATCGACTTTGACAACTTCCTTCTGACAAACTCTGGTCACCAAAGATGAACTGGTTTCAGCGTGAAAGTAATTTTTTCTGAGGATGGTGTTTCCTGTTGCAGACTTTCCATTTCCAGTTTTCCCAAACAACAAGATTCTCAGACATTGTGACGCTGAGTCTTCATCACCTGAAAATTATAGTAATAAAGTTTATACAGTAGATTTACAACAGATTAACATAAATTTGTACAGCAATTGTTGAACTTTACATAGAAGGTTAACTATTTGCAGCAGACCATATCTGAGTCTCCTTTTTTTCATTATTCATTGATTGTCTAGTTCTTGAATCTTATTGGCTGATAGCCATGTTATGTTCTACAAATAAACAGCACTCGTCCAGCCTCATCACCCTTCACCCTTGTGTATTACTCTGCCCACATACTGCGACAAGTAGAGGACACGCTACATTTATTCCTGCTGTTGGACAACATCATGTACTTGTGAGGCTTTTTAGTCGAGAATGTAGTTGTTTAAATTGCAAATCTGCAATTTATTTATAAGGATAGTGCCTATTTTAAAATATTTATCATTTCTGAGAGAGCTCATCGACGGCCATTTGCCTGCCATCCTGAGTCGACCAAAGACGGTTGATGTTTTCAATCCACAAGATGGAGACAGAAGCGCATAATAAGCCCTTGCGCTTAGAATATTGTATCTGTTGTGACAACAAAGGCAGCTGCCAGTTATGTACTATTATAGGAGTTTATATAATGTGTTTGCCCTAAGAAACCCATTCGCTACATTTACTGTTTGGTTGATTTGCACTTGGGTGAAAATGTGCTTTTTGCTAGCAAGTTTGTTTATGGATCTATACAGATTAGTCTCGTCTCTCTTATATGTGAATAAAGTATTATTGGTTTATCTCGAGAGTTGATAAGTGAGACTGAGAGAACGAGACCGCAGAGGCTTGTCTCTGAGAGAAAGTGAACTATTATAACAGCAAATCATGTGTTATTATTATTATTGTTTAAGGATTGTTTAATGTAGTGAATGTGTTGAGTGTTATAATTGCAAGTTTGTTGAGTTCGTTTGCGAGCTGAGGACATTGAAGCCCGTGTGAGAGTATATTCTTGTGTTTTAACAGTCACTGCTACACTGGCCTGACGTACTGTTTCATCGACTGAACTGTTAAAGTGAGACTTAGCACCGTGATTCATGGGTGGTCTTTATTTCTCTTGACTTCAGTAAGAGAAACCAGATCGTTTGTTGAACACAATGAGAGAAAGACCGCTCAGGAGGATGGATTGATTTCATCGGCGGGAGTGTTCAAGTTGCATCGGACTGACAGTTCGCGGTGGAGGAGATCGATCGCGGGGAAACAATGGATGATTGCGACGGCTTCAGAAACGCCAGGAGCCTCATGTATGAAGACTTGCGTGGAAATCTTACTAAAACATTGCGTAAGTACAAAGCTGTAAATCTGCGTACGCAGAAAAAAATTCAGATGTATGAAACACTGCGTACGCCGAATCTCACGCATATTCTTTTGTACATCTGAATGAACGTGAAACTGAGCGCAACATGCACGAGCACAAAACCCCTCCCTGACTCCTCCCCCGTATGAATATGCAAATGACTCTACTTTGGCAAAACCCAACGAAAAAGCAACGGCAAAATCAAGCAAGAAGAGAAACTTTGAACAGAATGTGAATTGGAGGTGCTGCTTTCGGAGGTAGAACGGAGAAAAGCGGTGTTATTTGAAAATTTGTCCTCCGGAATTAACAACAAAAGAAAAAGTAGAGTGGGAGAGTTTAGCTGATGCGGTTAACACAGTTGGGTCTGAACATCACACTGAGTGCATTAAAAAGAAATAGTGTGGTTTATAGTTGTAAAATGTTGTGTCACTCGTAACAGTCTCAAGCCTGATTTATACTTCTGCGTCAGGTGACCGGCGTAACCAACGGCGCATGCAACGCGTGTGGCTGTGCATTTATACTTCTGCTGCTGTCTCTGTTGGTCTGCATTAACACTTCTGAAACACTAGTGGGCAGTGAGGTGTAAATCTTCCTCTGTGTCGAGTTTCTTCGCTACTTTTTTGCTTTTCCTGAAAACTTCCTGGATGTACAAGTGGCTCAAACTCGCTCATTTTGAGGCAGGAACCGGCGGACGTGCAACAACTTTAACTATGAGGTAAACACAAAACAAAACTTTCCATCCGGAGCTCCTTCACGGTACTCCACACTTGTAAACAATCGCTCGCGCGGCGTCGCGCCATTTGCGCGGCTTTTGGTCCCACCCAGACTCATCAGCGCTACCAAGCTGACCAATCACAGAGCTTACGCTAAGCGTCGTTGCGACGTGTAGTTAAATTTTTTGAGAGATGTGTTTTCGGCTGGAACCAACAGGTGTCATTTGAGGTGTATGAAGTGACCAAGTTTTTCAGCTTGGGTTTTATTAGTTTTCCTATTGGTGCAATTTTATAATATTCATTTTATGTTTGATCAATTAGAAAATACACAGCAACCTGAGTCTGAGAATAGAAGTTTAATCTGTGAAGTTTAATCTGAGTTTGATTGTTGTAGCTGGATGACCATTTGTAGAAGATTACATTAAAGTAAAAAGAATGTGCATTAGTTTGATCTGTGAATAATGGCTGCTTCTTCTGCTGTTGAAGCTATGGATCCTGCTACTGAAAAGCTCATTTTACTTGCTTATTTTAACAGCAAGAATAAAATTAAAAGGAAAACTCAGTTACAAGAAAGAACAAGATCACCCTGTAGCAGATTTTTTGCATGTGTCATAGTTAAATAGTAGAGTGTACCTGATAAAGTAGCTGGTAAATGTATATAGTAGGGCAGGGGTCAACAATCTCGTTCCTGGAGGGCTGGTGTTCTGCAGGGTTTAGCTCCAACTTGCCTCAACACATCTGTCTGATTGTTTGAAGTATACCCAGTAAGAGCTTGATTAGCTGGTTCAGGTGTGTTTGATTAGGGTTTTAGCTAAAATCTGCAGGACACCGGCCCTCCAGGAACAAGTTTGGTGACCCCTGTTGTAAATTATATGTTTTAGGCTGGAACCGACAGGTGTCATCTGAGGTGTAATGATAATGACACTGCTTAAAGTGTTTCTCGTGTTTCATTTACACTGAATCAAAACAGCATTTGGTTGCCTTTGATACTAGGGACTGGGGTGGGTCAGACCCGGCATAATTTATATCTGCTTTAATGGGGCATAGCAACTTTATATTGAACTCTGAGCAGAAACAGACCTGCTTTATGGCCATCTTAAATTGGCAGTGTAAAGACAACTTTTTATTCTCAGTGAAATATTTCATTGACAATATAAAACCCACATATCCTGTTGAAAAGAAGAGTGAGATAAAAAGCAAACATCAAAACGTAACTTGTTTTGCAAATTAACTGACTTACTGTTTGTTTGCTGAATCATTGCATTGCTCTGATAAAGTGGGGTTGTTTCATGTCCTTGTTTCTCCTTTTCTTCTCTTTTACTTTCCTCTTGTATCTCTGTCTCCCATTCCTCCCATAACTTTCTCTCACAGTCTTCAATGTCTTTAATGTCTCTCTTATATTGTTCTTCTCTAAATTTATGTTCTCTTCTTTTTCTCTCTTCGCTATGCTTCAGCCTGTTTTCCTCCATATTTTTTTTAATTCTTTCTCTCTCTAATTCGTGGTTGAGCTGTAGATCTTCTTTCTCTCTCAGTCTTCTTTCTCTCTCTCGTTTAAGTTTTTGGTAATATTCATCCCACGTGTCCTCTTCTATTTTTCTCCTTCTGTCCTCCTCCTCATCTCTTCTTTGTCTCCAATATTCTCGCTCTCTCTTCATCTCTTTTTTGCATTCTTCTTCTTTCTCTCTAAAATCCTCTTCTCTTTTCTTTCTATCTTGATTATTGTTTCGTCGTTCTTCCTCTATCATCATCATCATTCTCTCTTTCTCTTGTTTAAGTCTCTGGTCAAAGTCATAAAACATATCCTCTTCTTTCTTTCGCCTTCTCTCATCCTCTTCTTCTCTTCTTTGTCTTTCATGTTGTTTCTGTCGTTCCCATTCTTCTCTTTCTTTCTTTATCTCTGTTTTATATTGTTCTTCTCTCTCCTTAAATTCCTCTTCTCTTTTCAATCTCTCTTTATCATGATTCTGTCTTTCTTTCTCTATCATTATAATCCTTTCTTTGTCTTTTTTTAGCATTTGATTATATTTTTCCCACATGTCCTGTTCCTTTTGTCGTCTTTTCTCATCATCTTTTTCTTGTCTTTGTTTTTCCTGCTGCTTCTGTTTCTCCCATTCCTCTTGTAGTCTCTTCAACTTCTCTTTTGTATTTTTCTCTTGATCCTTAATGTCTTTAATGTCTCTTTTATATTGAACTTCTTTCACTCTTAATTCTTCTTCCCTTCTTTTTTTCTCCTCTTCGTGTATTTTCATCTCCCTCTTTTTCTCTTCTGTGTGTTCCTTCATCATTCTCTCTTTTTCGCTCCTCATTTCCTCTTGCATTTTTCTCTCTTCTTTTATATCTCTATTAACTCGTTCTTCTCTTTCTCTATATTCATCTTCTCTTCTCTTTTTCTCCTTTTCATGCTTCACCCGTTCTTCTTCCATCATCCTCTTTTTCTCTTCCTCATGTTTCTTTATCAGTTCTTCTCTTTCTCTATATTCATCTTCTCTTCTCTTTTTCTCCTTTTCATGCTTCACCCGTTCTTCTTCCATCATCCTCTTTTTCTCTTCCTCATGTTTCTTTATCAGTTCATCTCTTTCTCTATATTCATCTTCTCTTCTCTTTTTCTCCTTTTCATGCTTCACCCGTTCTTCTTCCATCATCCTCTTTTTCTCTTCCTTATGTTTCTTCATCAGTTCTTCTCTTTCTCTCTTCAGTTGTTCCACTTTCTCCTCCATTATCATCATTTGTTTCTCTTGTATTTCTCTCTCCATCTCTCTGAACATCTTACATGAGTAATAACTGTCTCCATTTGTCTTCACCATCTTCTCTATCTTCATCAGTAGATCAGACACTTGTGTTGGGTCTTTAGTCTGATTATTGTTGAACACATGGACTCTGTTTCCACATGTTTCAGTGAGGTTCTTAAGAGCAGAGTCAGTGTTTCCTAGAAAGTCTCCAATAGTTTTGTTCCTCAGATCGTCTCCTCTGGTGAACAGCACTATTGTGTATTTTAAAGAGTTTTCTCCAAATATTTCTTGGATGATCTTCACTGACTCTTGCTCTTCTTGAGTGAATCTTCCCAGTGAAATCACCAGCAGAAACACGTGAGGTCCAGGCAGGATCATGGAGATGCAGTTGCTGATTTCTCTCTTGATTTCTTCATTACTGAGTTGAGTATCAAACAGTCCTGGAGTGTCGATCACAGTGATGTTTTGACTATTGACTTGAACTGTGACCTTCTGACACTCTTTAGTAACAGAGCTTTGAGAGATGTCTGATGTAAATGCTTTTCTTCCTAAGATGGTGTTTCCAGTTGCACTCTTCCCAACTCCAGTTTTACCCAGAAGAACAATTCTCACTTCATTAGGTCTTTCTCTTGAATCTAAAGACAGATCAAATAAAAGTCATGCCTGAAGGTTGGAAATAGATAAAGGCCTCGTTTACACTAGTGCATTTTAGTTTTAAAACTCAGTTTTCGGCACTTGAAAACTCTGGCGTAGTGTGGACGGATGCCGTAACCGTAGCCAAATTTATGTGATTTCAAACTAAAGCGCACTAGTGTAAACGGGGCCTAAAACAATGCTTATCTGAAGGTTTTAAGTTTGAAGTAGCTCACAGTTTTAATTACATTTTAATATAAAAAGCCAGTAAACTACTATGACACATTAAAATGTGAATATAAATGCTCAGAGTATGACTGTTTAAAGATGGATTCAAGTTTAAGTCTGCCTTGTGGTTGACCAAGTTTTTCAGCTTGGGTTTTATTAGTTTTCCTATTGGTGCAATTTTATAATATTCATTTTATGTTTGATCAATTAGAAAATACACAGCAACCTGAGTCTGAGAATAGAAGTTTAATCTGTGAAGTTTAATCTGAGTTTGATTGTTGTAGCTGGATGACCATTTGTAGAAGATTACATTAAAGTAAAAAGAATGTGCATTAGTTTGATCTGTGAATAATGGCTGCTTCTTCTGCTGTTGAAGCTATGGATCCTGCTACTGAAAAGCTCATTTTACTTGCTTATTTTAACAGCAAGAATAAAATTAAAAGGAAAACTCAGTTACAAGAAAGAACAAGATCACCCTGTAGCAGATTTTTTGCATGTGTCATAGTTAAATAGGAAAAGGATGCATTTGGCTGAATAGAATAACATGGAGGAAACCAAGCTTTATGGCTGAACCATTCATACTAGTCTCATAAGTATCAGAAGAAATCATTTTGCAAACAACTAAAACAATTAAAAACATTATACTGACTTTCAAGTGAACACTGTCAGTAAGCCTGGTCATCAGAGATCATTGTGTATAGGAGTTTCTGGAGTTTTGTTTGTAACTTCTATTTATGTATTGTCAAATGTGTTAAGACATTTGCAGCCATGTTTGATAGAGTGTTTAATTTAAGTTGTTTTTCTGTTCATTACCTTGTGACTGAAATGTCTTTAATGAGTTGATTCCGCTATGTTTTTCATCATATTTCAGGTGTTTCTCCATCTGCGGCTCCAGAAATGTCTCTGCTGAGAAAACCTCTCCTTTGTTTTCTTCCACCATCTGATCAATCTTCTCCATCAATGTGGACACTGGTGTGTTTGGGTTAATGAAATGATGTCGTCCACTAAGACTCTGAATGACCGTCTGAGTTTCTTCACTGAGTTCTGCTGTATGAAGCTCTGAGTCCTGCTGTATGAGGATCATCATGTGCTTGTTGATTTTGAAGCTGAAAATCTGCATCTTCTCCACTTCTGCTCGGTCTTCATTATTGAGAGGACCATCAGGAATGATGAGGATGAACAGATGAACTCCAGGATGGCAGAGAGACACACAGCGGAGCGTCTGACGCATCACTTCCTCCTCTGAGAGATTAATGAGAGTTGGAAACTCCATCAGACTGATCAGACGACCATGAAGATCCACATCTGTCCTCGTAAACTCTGAACCGACCACAGATCCTCTCCTGCTTTCTCTCAGGAACAGCTCTGACATGGAGGATTTTAATCTTCTGTTACTCCCACAAACAACCAGATTCAGGTTCAGAACCTCTGAAATAGTGTTAAAGGAATTAGCTAGTTTACAATGTGATTTAAAGATTAATACACAATGACTGTTTTGTTATTACTAGTCCCTAATCAATGCATGTACGCATGTGAAAACACTAAAGACAAAGTTATGCTCACTCCTATTTCATCATTGTAAACTTATGTCAAAACTCACATAAGGTGCAACAGGTATTAAATAGCAACCTTAAGGTCCATTAACATCAAGCATGATAATGATAAATATAAGCATAAATATATTTGTGTCCACACACACACACACACACATGATAACGATTATTTAATTTTTAGATTCTGCTTTTAATAGTGCATTAGCTTGTGTCTCCAGAAGATGTCCTTAGGCGCATCTGAACACACTATTAATCTACCGATAGTAATCAATCTAATCAAACAGCCCATTTAGCACTAGTCAGTTCTCCAGTATCGCTGTAGTTTTGCTGTGAACTCCGCTATTCTTTAAAACTCTCAAACATTTTTACAGCTAGATCTTCACTGATGCCTTTAGAGTTATTGTGCTTGGTGTGAACAGGACTTAGCACATGTCTCTGTTTCTACGGCATAAATATTTGTTTAAACAATTTTAATATGTAATCCAAAGGAGACTCCAAATTGTACATTCAACATTTAACCACTATTCTGTGTCAGGAACCGGTTTACAATTCAATACAAGGCAATATGCTATAACTATAATGAGAGATTTAATTAAAGTTTTTCTAAATTGTTTTGGCATATTTTTCGTTACAGTCTTAACGTTCTGTGATTTAATATTATTAGACTGTTTTCTTATCTTTTTTCTAATTTGCGTTTATATTGTTTAGCTGTCAATATAATACTTTACATTTATGGAAGAAAGAGTTATTACATAGATAGAGAATGTGTAACATCTTATTCGTCAAAAGACGGTTTATGTGCATGTAACCGCACCGGTCTGAGCAGGCATGGGAGACAAATGCTCTGAGGAGGCTAAAGATTGCAGAACAACATCTGTCGCTGGATCAGAGGAGTGAGGTTTACTCGATGACCAGCTGGCTTCCGTTACATAAGGGCAAATATAGATGACCAAAAAATCATTTACTCATTTTACTCATACTCCTTTTATTATTTATAATGTCCAAGACATTGATATTAATATTAAATGCTACTTTTGTGCCTTTATTAGCTTTTTTTCTAGGGTTAAAAATCTTAAATTATTCCATCTCCACCTGCTGGTGAAAGAGCAGCTGGCGATCTTCAATCTGCAATCTATTGCTTCTCCTGCAGTTCCTGGATGTAATGTTGAATTTTAACAGTCGAATTTGAGGAATATGAATTTAATGAAGCGAATATTTGAACTGAAATAAAATGAACTGAAAATTACCTTTTGAATATTATACATCGTATTTTTAAAGGGTATTGAATATTTTGTAAGTGAAAGTTGGAAATTGATTATGAATTATTGAATTTACAAGTATAAAAACGTGTTTGAAATATTTTTAGTTGAGATATTCACAACTTAAATAAACAGCTATGTTAAATTTCAGGACCTAAAAATACAAACCTGGAATTCAAGTCATTAAAATGCAAAAATTTGTTAATTGAGTGTATTATTTTTTTCAGTTTGTGATATTCAACAAGCTTTTTAATTCAATAGTTTTGGCATTGATTTTGTTCCATAAAACTCTGCACTTTTCGCCTCAAAGACTTCCATTCATACACGTGACGTGCGAATGGAACAGACAGAAAACACAAGCTCATGCATAAAGATTTGCATATTGATTTGTTGCAAAGATCAAGTTTGGTGAACTCTGACCTGCGCTATCACATCAGGTGACTGCGTGAGACCAACAGAAGATCAAAACATGACCTCTCTGTGCAGAAATTTAAATTATGGAGCAATCACTCGCTTATTTATCATCTAATCATATTGTTTAATCCTGGCCCTTTCACAGCACCATATGACAGAATTGGCAAGCTGAACCACGGGTGTGACCACAGCTTTACTTTGCTTACTACAAATGTCTACACAGATGTATCAAAGCAAGTGGGAGGAAAAATATAATAAATTTCATTTAATTCATATAATTAAGCTATATTTCTTATTTGGAATTCAAATTATTTTATATTCAGGCTGTAAAACATTATTATAAATGCATTTGAAAATTAACTTCTAAAGTGGTCAAAGCAATTGAATTTTTATCTGTTATATCTGTTGAAGGATTCGGATTTCTGCTTTCCAATCCGTCTCATCATGGACCAACGTTTATCCTTTTCTCATCATCTTGTTTCTTATAATTTTTTTTATTAAAAATAATTATTTGATCATTTGAATGAGTATTGAACTTTGAATTGATTTTGATTAATAAATAAGTTAACACATTGCTTAATATAAGAATGTTCAGTGCATTTGCCTGTCTCTTTATACCTATTTTCAGATGCCAGCAATCTAGGTCAGAGGTCATGGAGGCCTTGAGTGGAACTGGGGGCTGAGGACTGGAAGCAACCAACCCAAGCTCATTCTGGAAACGTAGCCTCGCGGACGTTTCTGGAGACCGCGATTTACGTGGCCGGAGGTACGTAAAGGCCGCGTTTGTTTTTTTTTCGAGCGAACGCTGCGGGGCGGTGTGGTGCCGCTCCGCTCCTCCTCTTCGCGCTCGCCGGCCGACGGCTCGCCTCTGAGTGGAGGGCTTTCCCGACACAATCAGTTTGTCCGCCTAGCTCACAGCGTTGCGACGGCGAAGCGGAGGCCCTGGACGAGGAGGAGGAGGAGCCGGCCGCGGTGGACGATGACCGGGATCGAGTCCGGGGAACAGCAGGTTCCGGAAATCAGGTAAGACGAAAAACGGAATCCGAAAAATAAGGGCGAGAACGCGGTGGGATCCGAAAACTCGGTCGAAATCGAAGACGAGGGCTTTTGCTTTTGCTTTTTTTTGTTTTTTTTCCGATCCGGCGGCTTTTCGCGTGAGAACGGCGCGGGCGCGAACGCCGTGCGCTCCCGAGAGGCACCCGCCCGAGACGCGAAAAAGTGCGCACAGCGTCCTCTTGCGGATCCGCAAAAACAAAAAACGCTCAAATACGTACCTCCCGGGACGTAAATCGCGGTCCGCAGAAACGTCCGCGGGTCTACGTTTCCACAATGAGCCCGGGATGGAAGCAACTGTTTCTATTGTTATTTCTATGGGTTAATACTCTCTAAAACTCTCTAAAAAAGTGATTTTGCTATTTTTACGGTGAATTATTTTAAAGTGATTCTATTTTTTATTCAAGATAGACTTTGTGTAGTAAGAATATAACTGCCTGAATGTAGATTATACCAGTTTTTAACCAGTCTCGATAAAGACGGCTGACAGTACACTCAGCCTTGGATAAGAAACAGATTGTACTTTGTGTGTGTGTGTGTGTGTGTGTTTTATTTGATTGTTGATCCATTTCACAGGTCTGGAGTCAGCTCTAATCAGTCTAAGGGATGTCTGACGTTTATGCTTAAGATAATGTTCAGAGTATACGCACAAACCCCACGTGGAAATGTTCCTAGTTTATCTGTGTTTTAACCAATCAGGCTAGAACACCTGTATGTATGACGCAGTTAATGACGTTATGTGAGAGTATAATTGTTATTGATTGGTGATTGTAAGCAGAGCGGCCTAGGAACTCATTGCGAGTGTTGAAGCTGGCTTCTGCGGATGAAACTGCAAACTATCTTCAGTAAACTTGATTTATTTATTTAAATCTCCGACTCCGGCTCTTCTTCATCTACCAGACTGGTCACTCTTTGGGTCAAACTGTAAACCATCCCTACACTGTGTTTCGGAGGGCATTTATATCTGCCCATATGATTATCAGATCTTCAGAAAAAAATGCAAGAAGTGACCAGCTGTAAACAGCCTCTAAAGAACACTAGCCCTCCATGACCAAGTTTGGGCACGCCTGCACTAGATGCTTGGGTGCATATTACATTATACTACATAGTGTATAAGTATATAGTTTATAGTCCGCCACCTGGGACACAACCATTGTCTGGCTTCATCAATGAACAATCTTTAAACATTAACCAAATAAACAACAAAACATATGTTGATCTTGTCATAAAAATGGACCATTGGCTTGGAAGCTTTGCTGTGCATTATTTAAATTTAATGAAATTAATTAGAAAATAGAAATTAAATAGAAAATTGTGCAGGGTGAACTTGGCATTAGAGTAGCGGCCATAACAAGAGTACAATCAAAACCACCTGGTAATGTTTTTATGGTTAGTTGGGATAGTTCTGAGTTGCCTACAAATTAGTGTATACAATCAAATTTGCAGACACCTCAGTAATTACTTCAGTAAAACGTAAGCCTAATAAAAATTTTAATAAGTACATTTATTTGGAGTTATTTCCTTTCGCAAGTACATGTTTCTCCTTGTCCTGTGTAGTGAACATGAACTGGCTATTAGTAATAAAAAAAGAGACAAACCTCTTCCATCACTTCCTGTTTTTGAGCTCTCATCTTCTGTGTAATCTCCTCTGGCTGAACCACAATCTCCATCCACTGATGACCCATCACCTTCATCACCACAGATGTGAAATTCTTTGTATTCTTCCTTGAGGATCTTCTCTATCTTTATAAACAATTTAGTGTGAGATTGTGGGTTTGTATCAAACCGAAGATGTCTTCCTTCACAGTCCTTTATTACATTTTGAACAGCCTTATTCGTTTTAAAAAAAACAAACCTAAGTGTCTCCTCATCAGTGGTCAGCACTATAGTGTGTTTGATGGCCTTCTGACTGAAGAGACTCAGTATATATTTCACTCTGTCTCTGTCCAGCTCAGTGAAGTCATTATACTGCAGTACAAGTATGATCACATGAGGGCCTGGAGCACACTGAGACAGACACTCTCTCACTGCCTGAATGACCTGCAGCTGATTGAGATGTGTCTGAAGCAGATGAGGAAAGTGGAAGACTCTGATGTTTCTCTCCTGTCCACTGAATCTGGTCTGCTTGACATAAAATGAAGCTCCACTGTCAAACACTGCTGCTGGTCCACTCTTGATAAAGTTTTCCACTCGGCTGTTTTCTGATGCATTCTTGCCTATCAGAACAATCCTCAGATCGCTCACTGAAAAACACCATACACAAACAAACACTTCTAATGGGGCACTTTCCATATGCATGAAGATTTTAAAGAATATGTTCTTTATTACTAAACACAACCCTCAAAAACAATCTTACAGTCTTATAAAACAACAACTTGAATGTAAAAATCATAGGACCAGACAGAATTTGTGGACTTTGTGTTAATTCTGCACACAATTTTGTGCAAATCTGCATTTTGCGTTTTTCTCTATGGGCCGCTTCTAATTTGGCCCGAGTTCTTTTAGCTGCGAAAGGTCTGCATTCGGTACAGTTGTGTGTATTTGATTTTGACCTGTATTTGTATTATCACAAATGGGCCACTGTCAGAACAAAAAAGCCAAAACAATTAGATTTGGCAGTGGATTGGGATTGGTGTCAGTTGTTTGATTAAGCATGCTCCCTGAAGATTCACAGACTAAAAATCTGTTCTACTAAGGTTAAAATGAAAATTTTTACTTGTATTTAAAAATGTTTGATAATAGCAGTTACCTAAAACCTCTGAAATGGTGTACACATCTAATCATTTACACCTATTTGTTAGCCTGTGATGATGAGTTTTATTATGTGTAAGTCTAGGTTTTTGGTTGCTTATGGCAAAACTTGACAGTTTGTGTTTTCATGGCTAATATATTTTAAAAAAACGCACACATGGGCACTTATGCTTAAATTTATACTGTTTTATATATACTTTTCCTCTTAATACTTCATTGTCAATAAATATTATTCATTCATTCTTTTTATTGTCGGCTTAGTTCATTTATTAATCATAGGTCACAGCAGAATGAACCACCAACTTATCCAGCATATGTTTTATGCGGCAGATGCCCTTCCAGCTGCAGCCCATCACTGGGAAACATCCATAAACTCCTGCATTCACACTCATAAGCTACAGCCAATTTAGCTTATTCAGTAGGCTTTATGCATGCAATACTTCCACCTTTGTCCAAGGCTGCCATCCAACTTCCGGCCCAGGTGTTGTTTAAAGTCATATTAACAGGTTTATAGAAAAATGTTGTTGGAGCTTGGTTTGATTGCAGCTGAACTCACTGAAGACACACTTAATGTTTTGAGGATGTTTTTGGTCTCTTCTTGACTCTGAGTGTCTCTGAACTCCTGCGGTCTCTGGAGGATGAGAGAGCTCCATGATTTCATCTAAAACATCTTTATTTGTGTCTGAAGATGAAAAAATCTGATGTCTTAGAAACATACTGTGTGTGCTACATAACATTAGTCGTTGTGGGTTTAACATTAAATGAAACTTAGTTCCACCAGGATATTTTATATTTGAAAGAATTATCCTGATCTCAAAAAGGGATTTGATGTTGTTTTATGTTTGATGATATTGTGCTTTATTTTAATCTAGCATTAACATTAACATTAATGTTTGCATTTTAAAATTACATTAGTATCACACAAGCATATCTGTGGACAAAACTCTTTTCAATTCACTGTGTTTTGTTTTTTTTTGTATTCCCAACAGTACAGAGAAATTTCATATGTATAAATATATATATATATATATATATATATATATATATATATATATATATATATATATATATATATATGTCTGTAGTATGTGTGCAAAAAGACTTGTTTTGAGATTTGGGTATATTAAGTATCTGCTGAAAGTAATTTGTTCATTCCAATATACATATATTTTTTAATATTTGATGAATGAACTGAGGAGAATTCCACCTAATTGTAGTTTTTTTAAAACACTAAACTGATTGTTTACAGTACCCTATTACATTTTCAAGAATTTGGTGCTTTAATGAACATTTTTTTAAATTTGGGCATAAGTAACCTTTTAGGCGATGCGGTGGCGCAGTATGTAGTGCCGTTGCCTCACAGCAAGAAGATCATTGGTTCGAGCCTCGGCTGGGTCAGTTGATGTTTCTGTGTGGAGTTTGCATGTTCTCTTTGTGTAGGCGTCGGTTTCCTCCGGGTGCTCCGGTTTCACCCACAGTCCAAACACATGCGCTATAGGGGAATTGGGTAGGCAAAATTTTCCGTAGTGTAAGAGTGTGAATGAGCGCGAATGGATGTTTCCCAGTGATGGGTTGCATTTGGAAGGGGAAGGGCATCTGCTGTGTAAATATGTGCTGAATAAGTTGGTGGTTCATTCCACTGTGGTGACCCCAGATTAATAAAGGGACTAAGCCAAAAAGAAAATGATTGAATGAAGTAAATTTTTAATGTTATCTGGTTGCACTGACTAAACCCACATTAGTGTCTACAGTGCAGTCTTCATTTCACCATCAGTGATTTAATTTACTTACTGTTAGGGCGATCGTGATCTGGACTACTCCTGCCGGCTTCTGCTATGGAGAGAACAGATGTTTGAGCCATTAAACATTAAAATATTTTGACACTCTAAAGTGCAGAAGACACAAAGTTCAACAACATTCTCTTTTGATTTTCCTCAACTACCTTCAAATATGAAAGTTTATTTAATAATAAATTAATATTACACAAGTCCTGGACTACAAAGTCTTATATTGGACAAGTTCAATTTATTTCTGTAGCACTTTTACAGTGTAGATTGTGTGGCAGCAGCTGAACAAAAATGTTCTAGTAAATTAAACTGCGTCAGTCCAGTTTGCAGAGTTGAAGTTCAGTTCAGTTTAGTGTAGTTTAATATTAACAGCTGAAAGTTCAAACACTGAAGAGCAAATACATCGATGTGCAGCTGCACAAGTCCCAAACCAAGCAAAGTACAATTAATACCATTAATTGATGAAGTTTAAGTATACAAGTATATTTGCAGAAATTTTCATTTGTGACAACAATCTTTGGAGTATTAAGAAAATAAAAAATTCCGTTTCTCATTATATCTAAAATAAATATACAAAGTAATAAGCACACATTTGTATACCTATTGTCATAATTAAACTGAACAACCGGAATATAAGATCTGTGCATTTTTCTGCAGACATCGATTTCCTGAGTGACTCTTCCTGGTTGTTAATGCCACGTAACAAAGGTAAAAGCACAGTAAAATAGCCCACCAGTTAAATACTGCTTACACCACTGCTTGCTATGGGCTTATATCCTATATAAATATGACATAAAATAACCGAGGAAATGTTTCTGCGTCTACCATACTAATTTTTTTCTTACCTGAACTCGACGCCATTTCAGCACTTTAACGTCATAGCTTGAAACCGAAATTGAAATAAAAACGTTGAAAGGTGAAAGCTGCTGTGACACGCCCGTAGAGTTCGGAAAAAACAAACGTACACATTAAGTATAAATGTCTAAATTATGAACTACAGCTCAGTCCTGTTTAAAATAAGCAAACTAATGATGCTGTTTCTGCGGATGCAACTCAGTGTCTTTATTTAAATAAAATTTTTATTTAAATTTAAATTTAAAAAAAATTATTTCAATAAAAATCACACATATGCAAAGCGTTCAGTGTATGCTAAATACATGAAAACTGACGAGATAGGGTTGAAACTTGTTTAAAGTTTTTCAAAGTCTAAGACAGTGGGCCTCCCTTTTGACACAACTTATCCACTGGCGCCCCCCTCCTCCCAAACATGCACGCACACGCGCGCGGACACGCACGCACGCACACACACACAAATTCTGGAGGTTTTCTTGCTACCTCATCATGGTTGGTTTCAAGGTGTCGCCAAAGTTTGGCGGGTCTCAAGCTGTCATTAGCCAAAATATCTTGACAAACCACACATAAAGGTCGTGGTTCATCAGCTGGTCCTGTCCACGTACATCCTAAACTGAAATACTGATCATCATATCGTCGTCTTTTGGGTTTAAGCCCTGACTTGAAGGCTTTGAATCGGGGGGTCTCAGAAACCGATCCATTGCATTAGCAGCATGATTAGCTGACATAAACCTGTATTGGCGGGCTTGCCAAACAGAAGCGAATTCACAGCTATGGCCTTCTGGGTAAAAAAGGTTTTCTTATTTTTGACGTATTATTTTTTAGCTTTGTTTAATTAAAACGTTTAAAAATAATAAAAAATACATATAATAATTAAACTTAATAATTATATTTTTATTATAAAATATTTTTTTTCCTGCGCCTCCCCTGACATGCTCTGGCGCCCCCCAGGGGAGGCCCGCCTCACACTTTGGAAACCCCTGTAACATCGCTGTTCAGAAGAGTAGGGGGTAACTGCAGCCTAGGTTCAGAAAGGCAATTTTGAATTAGGTGTCCTTGCGTTGTTCAGTCAAAAGAGGGCGCGCTAATGTTAAATAACTGACTCTAATGTACTTAAATACTGGCCTGACAGTGGGCTTTACATGGTTTTACAAATAGCAACGGAAGTCCTAAAGTTGAGCTTATTGGGGGTATTTGGAGACATAAGTAACCGTGGGGAATTTTAGATAGAGGTTTACACCAAAATTCGATAGGCCTATATTAATCAAATAAATGATTCCTGATCCACAATATCATAGTATTTGTCTAGTTTACATAATAAAATAAATAATTCAAGTGAGCTCACTGTAAACATCACCGACAGAGCAGCAGAAACGGGTTCCATTTAAATATTAAAATAGCGCTGTTTGACAGAAGTTATTGATTATCTAATTATTTCTGGTAGTTGTTTAACATGTTTGTCATAAATAACTGTCAAATATGACATGTTAGTTCGTGGTAACATCTTTTTGACCGCTAAATTGAGCGCTGCGCTGTAACAGGCGCTCTGTCATCTTCAAGTCCGCCTATTTTAATTTGATTGGTCTAGTTTCAAGTATTACAACAATAACAAGCGGCGTAGACCAGTGATGCAGCTCAGATTTAAGCTCATTTTAACAGTACAAAAATATACATGCCAGGGGGGCGAGAGGATCTCAGAAATTACCCATATATAATATATATATACCCATATATAATATATATAAATTATAACTAATATATTATCTTAATATGTATAATTTATAATGTTTTTTATTAAGTTAAATTATAATTATTTTATTTTGTTTAATTACACTGCTGACTACTAAAACGATAATTTTTTGATTATTAAACAGTTAGTGTGTTTCATTAAAAAAAAGTTTATTTAAGCCTGCAGTCATTGTAATTAACTTGCGTAAAGCAACATGAATGTGTAGCATGACTTCATTAAACTGAATAAAGTTGGTTGAAAAAAATATTGAACTTGAAGCCCATGAGTGCGCGCGCCCGTGCCTGTTTGTGTGCGCGTGATTCAGAGAAATGCCCGTGACGTCATCGCTGTACCTGAGTTTCGGCAGAGGGTGAAACTCTCGAGCAGAGATTCAGACACACATGAAACTCAGTTTCACACACTTTCACACGGACACACGGATATTCTGCGAGTCGTATCTCTCACCTGTGACTGACATACACAGACATTAAACACGTTTATTCATAAAAACCGTTCGTTTTGGCGGCAAAGGCCTCAGGAGTGCTGCCTTTTCCTGCTTTGACGCGAGCGCTTCCTGAAACCCTCAGGTGAGACTCATTAATATTTATATCGCGTTTATATTTAATGTTTATAGTCTTTTACAATCATTCCAGCAGTATAAAACGCTTTCATGTGATTTAGTGTCGGATTTTCAGCGTTTTAATCGACGACGAGGATATTTTCTTGCTTTAGAATCAAATATCAAAGTCAGGCTCTTTATTTACCCTTTATTTACTGTATTATGTGGCTTTTTCTTTTCAAACTACCCATTGAATCAATGTTTTGACCATACATGAGCTTTTTCTGTGTTGTACATTTAGTCAATTTGTTTATAATCAATGGAAACTTAAATGTTCAATAAAGTTGCTGTTTCAGAATTGTTTATATTTTGTAAATATTGCAATATTTGCGCATTTTAAATGTTAGAGCGGTTGTTATCAGTTTGTTTATTGTGTTAAAATAAAGTTTTATGATAAAAAGTAATACTAGTTATTCAGACAAGCCATGGTAACTTTAGATGAGCAAAATCAATAAATATATTTTAGGCTCTGTTTAATTCTTTTTTTTCATGATTATGTTGATTAACAGATGTTACTTTTATTTGATGTAGTACATTTCAGAATAATATCAGTGCAAATGGTGCATTAATTAAAATGTCTGTTAGATATAAGCTTTTTTTCAGTATTGTGAAGAAATGTTAATGATTCTTATATAATTTGCTCTTTCAAAGGCTTAGTTTATGTCCTGTTTTTGCTTTCTTACTCGCTTGTATTGATATATGCGTAAAATAATGTGTATTATGTTAATTTGTTTTTAATAAAATAAAAACATGTAACAATAAACATTTTACTTTTTTAAAGTCACTTTAATACAATTAATAACAATATTAAAAGTTATCTATTATGATATATATGTGTGTGTATGTGTATATATGTGTGTGTGTAATTTATTATGTAACTATTTTAACTGTCAATCTTTTCTAAAATATTGCTAGTTTTGGTAGGTCTCAGTGATTAGGTTTAGATTCCTTTTATCTTCTATTCTTATTTTTATTATCATTAAATAATAAACATTTCTGTTAAAACTTTTTTTTTTTTGATTATTTATATCCTCTATATAACGTTGTCATGTTTGTAATTTGTATTTTATTATAAACTATTAAAATTGTGATATTGATTAAATTCTTTGCAAAATGCGTAAATGTATTTATCCACTTTTAATAATTGCTTTATTTACTTAGATTTTCTTAAGCAGATTTGAGTTTTGTTAATATTGTAAAATGTATGGCAAAATAAAACATAAATATATAAAGTCATGATGAGGTGTATGTGTGTACAGCCGGTGTGATGTCGTCTCATCCACGGCGTGTGCGTCTGAAGCCCTGGCTGGTCTCTCAGGTGGACAACGCTACGTTTCCTGGGCTGGTCTGGCTGGATAGAGACGCCAAACGCTTCCAGATCCCCTGGAAACACGCAACACGACACACACCGCAGCAGGAGGAGGAGAACACCATCTTTAAGGTCAGAAAATGTTTATAATTGCATTTATCTTGTATGTGTTTGTGTTCAATATATGTGTGTGTCCAGTAAGTGCGTATGATGAAGAGTGAGTGTGACTGTTTACCTGGTGTGTGTTTAATCTATGTGTGTTTAGTATGTGTTAATGAGAGGGAGAGAGTGTGAATAGGTTTATCCGTTTTATTCTATATATATATATATATATATATATGTATATATATATATATATATATATATATATATATATATATATATATGTGTGTGTGTGTGTGTGTGTTTATCTGTTTCTAATCTACGTTTTTTACATGTATCTTAGTGTTTTATCTCTGTGTTTTATATTAGTCTGTATGCTTGATTTTATTGGTGTGTGTGTGTGTGTGGGTGTGGGTGTGTGTGTGTGTTTATATTCATGTGTTTGTGTGTGTTTTTTTCTTGGGTGTTCTTCATATGTGGATTACTCAATTAGCTAGATTTGGTTGTTGAGGATTTGACAGGACAGTTTCGTTCTTCAAATCTTGAGTTGTTGTCGTGGCAACAGGTCTGGTAGCTCAAACCTGCTCACCAGTAGCAGGTTATTTCATCTAACCAGTAATAGATCAATTGTGCTGCCTAGTGTGAGTACACCCTTAATCTGTGGTTCGTGAACTATCTGAAGAACCAAATTAGCCAGAGATCAGTTATCAAGTTTAAAACTGGCAGCTAGCTCTCTGCAACTCTCACATGGTCAGCCTGGTCAGTACCTGGATGGGAGACCACATGGGAAAGCCAGGTTGTGCCGGAAGTGGTGTTAGTGAGGCTAGCAGGGGATACTGAAACACTAACTGCGGTCTGTGTGGGTCCTACTGCCCCAGTATAGTGAAGGAGACTCTATACTGCTAAGTGAGCGTCGACTTTCAGATGAGACGTTAAACCAAGCTCAACATTGGCTTCATCACTCTGTCTCCTCTCCACCAGTCATCGTAGATCATTTAAGTGAGGTATGAAGAACAGACCACTTTTTTCTTATTTGTGTGTTTATATTTTTGTGTTGTCAGGCCTGGGCAGTGGAGACGGGGAAGTATCAGGAAGGAGTGGATGAACCGGATCCAGCTAAATGGAAAGCGCAGCTCAGATGTGCTTTAAACAAGAGTCGCGAGTTCAACCTCATCTACGACGGCACGAAAGAGGTTCCCATGAACCCGCTGAAGATCTATGATGTGTGTGACATCCCACAGACGCCCAGCAACCCTGGTAACACACACACAGCCACATACACCTCCAAAAAACAACATTAATTTGTATAGATAGATGGATAGATACACATTTAACTTAAATATGTTTTACAATATCATACTTCAGATGTAATATTTAATTGCTAAATGCTTAGTTGCACATAATAAATTAAGTAAATGTGATGCAATGCAATTAAATCATTCATTAACGTTTCAAGTAATTGCTCCTAACAAGGTCACATGACTTCAGTGCAAATATTAAATTAAATTTAGCATGATTTTGTTTTCATTGAGATGCAGTTGCAGTTTTTTCACTTTAATTTATATATTTTTTGTTTTAATGTTGTTGTTATTATTATTATTATTATTTTATTATTATTATTATTTTATTTTTATTTTTTTCATTTTAAGTTTTACAAACCTTTCTGTAGTTTTGCGTATTTTTGTTTCTGATTAGTTGTTTTGTTACATTGTAAGTCAGTAAATAAGAAAATTTTCTTGGCAGCTAGCTAAAATATAATTTTTTAATTAATCATTTTTAATGCTCTACTTCAGGTTCAGTTCCCACATACGAGACGGATGGAGATGAAGACGACATCCCAGACACTCCTGAACCTCCTCCACCATATGCATCACATGGTATGGGAGATTAATAGGCTCAAAAATACTAAAATCAAAGAAAAAAAAGTTAGTTTTGAAGCTCATTTCAGGAGTTTAAAACATTTGCTTCAGCTGCTAAACATGGTCAAACTCTCATTGGTCCATCATTGTGATGCAATAGTTGGGTGAGGCTCTGAGGCTCCGCCTTCTTTGAAACCTTTGATCTATTTGCATAATTTTGCTTTTATATATTCATAATTGGTCTTAAAATGACAGTTAAGTTTTTTGTGGTTGTCTGTGATAATATATCGCACAACAAAACTTATTCATTGTTATGAGGACAGGTGTCAAACTCAGTTCCTGGAGGGCCGCAGCTCGCTCTGCACAGTTTAGTTCCAACCCTATTTGAACTCACCTGATCAATCATTGAAACCTACAGGTAAGTGTGTTGAAGCAGGGTTGGACCTAAACTGTACAGGGCTGCGACCCTCCAGAAACTAAGTTTGACACTTTAGTAATAGCTAGAAAATTATAATTAAAATTATGGGCCAAAACTAATAATTCTGGATGCACTTGGCCAATTAAACAAAAATGCTTAGTAATAATAATAATTATATATATATATATATATATATATATATATATATATATATATATATATATATGTATATGTATATGTCAACGACGTGCTCTGCTGCTCTTGTGCTTTGGTCGGTGCAGCAACAAACCACCCTTGTGCAGGGAAAGCCATTGAAATGAATGGGTTTTATAGCGCAGCGCTTTCTGCGTCTGGTGTGAAAGCTTCTTTACTCTGTGCAACACCTCATATTTTTGTATCTTTTTTGCTTTAACCATAAAACTAGATTGGCATTTTTTGCTGACATTTTTCAGGAGATGAAAATTCATGCATCGCTAGAATTGTTGTTTCACGTTAACTATTACAGACCACAAGAAACTAAAAGAAACGAGTGAAACCAGCGCACAGTATAGCCTTTTTTCAGCTTGTATTTTTGCCCAAAAACAAAAAAAAATGCAATTTTCAGACAATATTTTTGTAGGCCAGAAAATAAAGCACGCAATTAAAGCATTCAGCTGTGCATTAGTTTTGAATAATGGCCTGGAATGTAATTTTCTGCTTGCACATGTTTTTGGCAAATGAAAAACATGTTTGTGTGTAAGTGCACATCTACTGGTGTTTCTGTAAACCATAGCAGATTTCAAACCACAAAATGAGTGTTCATTAAATTTCAGTTAGTTTTTCAGTGACTCTTTCGGTTATTTTTAGTTTTTAATTTTTGTAATTTTAATTCAGTTAACAGAAATGTTTAACCAATAGTTTTAGTTTCAGTTTTGGTTTACTAAATGTGCATTATTTTCTAATAATTCAGTGGCCCACAGTGCATTATTCTACATGTACATGTTTTTGTTTTTTTATTGGCAATGAGGAAAATGTGTTTGTGTGTAAAAGCTCATCTACAGGCGTTTCTCTAAACCACTGCAGGTCAGATTTTAAAACAGAATGAGGGCTTATTAATTCAGAAAATGATTATTATTTTTACTAATTATTTTATTTTAATTCAAACCCTGAGTTTGTTTTAGTTTTTCATTTATTGTGAATTTAGTTTTTTGCTTTATTTTAGGTTAGGAAAATAGTTGACCATTTTGTTTGCTAAATAAATACCCTGTGCATTACTTTCCAATAATGCAATAGCCCAGAGTGCATTATTTTGCTTATACTTTTTTTCCTTTGACAAAATAATGAAAATGTATTTGTGTGTAAAAGTGTATCCACAGATGTTTCTCTAAACAGTGCAGGTCAGATTTTCCACCTTAGAACTAGTGCTTATTAATTTATAAAGAGATTTTATTATAATTATCATTTTATTTAGTTTTTCGGTGCCTTCATTAGTGTTGTTTTTGATTTATTGTGAATTTATTTAAAAAAAATTCACTTCATTTTATTTAACAAGAGTATTTTTTGACCGGTAGTTTAGTTAGCTATGTAAGTTTCAGTTGTAGTTTTAGTTTCAGTTTCAGTTTGCTCAATACCCTGTGTGTGTTCAGGCATGAGTGCGTCTCCTCTGGCTGCGGTCTGGACTCCTCCAGGCTCCGTGTCTCCTCTTCAGCCGTCCAGTTGTGCTCCTCCTCCTGCTCTTCCTCCTCCCCCTGCTCTTCCCCCTCCGGCCGCCACCGTTCTTCCGGCCGCCGCCGCTCCTCCTGCTAATGTTTGGCCCAAGAAGGAGCCGGAGGACGTGGAGATGCAGCCGCCCCCCATGGAGATACAGACGCCCACCGCTCTCGACAACCTGTTCATCACGCCGGAGACCTGGATCAGCTCTCTGCCCAGTATGGCGCACACACACACACACACACACACACACGACACATCTGTAGTCCACTACAACACTCAAAATCCAGGCGTTCTTCAGAATGACAAAACATGATTTAGCATGTTCAAAGCTAGTTGCTAGTCATGGTTATGTAGCTTAAATTTCTACTTAAGCTACATACCTGTAACTAGCAACTAGGCTAGGACATGCTAGAAAAGTTAAATCATGCAGCCAACATGGTGAAACATGCTACAAACATGTTAGAGCAAGTTAGAAATATGGAAAACATGCTAACATGTTTTAAAAACATGTTATGAACGTGTGAATTTGTGCTACCAATGTGTTAATTCATATTCGTAACATGGTAATTCATAAAAACATGCTAGCAATATACAAATCAACAAAATGTTAACCTTGTTAGCAAAATGCTAATTCACAGTAACCTATTCTTAATGTTTAAAACTACCAAAGTATGCTAAATAGTGTGTGAGCAATGTTAAAGGTTTTTGTTGATGCTAGCCATATGGTAATTTACAATAGCACAGTTTGACAATGCTAGCAACATGTTTATTCATTTTAAGTGAATGTAAACATAAGATAAACCTTAGCAGTGTGATTAAAAATGTAAGAAAAATGTTAGCATCATGCTAATTCACACTAACAAGGTAAACATTAGCTAGATAACTCACGCTAACATAGTATTATTGTATTTTAGCTCTGGTGAACTATGCTAGAAATATGTAAACATGCTAATTCATGCTATCACAGCCTAAAACATGCTAGCAAACATGTTATCTTTACCCTGAAATATGCCAAATTCATGCTACACACGTAAAAACTAACATCAACTTAAACATGTTAGCAAAATATGCTAACTGATGTAATCATAACATCAAAACATGCTAGCAAACATGTTAGAAGTGTTGACAACGTGCTAGTTAGTTAACACTGTGTTTGTTAGCAAAACATGTCAGAAATGTGCTAAAGCAACATGTAAATTCCTTTTGTGTGTGTGTGTGTGTGTGTGTGTGTGTGTGTGTGTGTCTCTCTCCGTGTATGTGTCTGCAGTGACGGATCTGGAGGTGCAGTTCTACTACCGCGGTAAAGAGGTGTGTCCCCCATTGACGGTCAGTAACCCGCAGGGCTGTCGTCTGTTTTACGGGGACCTGGGCCCCATAGTGAACCAAGAGGAGCTGTTCGGCCCCGTGAGCCTGGAGCAGGTGCGCTTCCCGCCCACAGAGCACATCGCTAACGATAAGCAGCGCGTGTTCACTAGCCGGCTGCTGGACGTGATGGACCGCGGGCTCATCCTGGAGGTCAGCGGGCACGACATCTACGCCGTGCGCCTCTGCCAGTGTAAGGTGTACTGGTCCGGTCCCTGCGCCCCCAACCCAAACGCTCCCAACCTGATCGAGCGCCAGCAAAAGGTCAAGCTCTTCTGCCTCGAGTCCTTTCTCAGCGGTGAGAGACTCTCATTATTCATATGATATGAGGAGGCAGGGATACAGCCGCCTAGGTCGCCTCTATGGACGCGCCGGCCCTGACTGTTGTTGGAGACCCTTACAACCAAAATATGACCCTATTTCATGTATAATATGGGCTCTTTAAAACTATTTGTTTAAAATGGTAAAAGCAAATTTTGCTGCTGTGTGTTTGTTATGTCTGTGTTTATTCTGTGGTGTGTGTTTATTCTAATATGTGCTGTTGTGTGTGTGTGTGTGCGCAGGGGTGATCACTCATCAGCGTGGTCAGTCTTCTGATGCTCCTCTTTATGATATTCACTTGTGTTTTGGAGAGGAGTGGCCCGACGGTCGACCCCGAGAGCGCAAACTCATCATGGTGCAGGTAGGCCCACACAAACACAATGCATTATGGGTC